GGAGTAGTAGGAGTAGCAGTAGTAGGAGTAGCAGTAGTAGTAGTAGTAGTAGTAGTAGTAGTAGGAGTAGTAGGAGTAGCAGTAGTAGTAGTAGTAGTAGTAGTAGTAGTAGTAGTAGTAGTAGTGGTAATGGTAGTGGTAGTGGTAGTGGTAGTGGTAGTGGTAGTGGTGGCAGTAGTAGTAGTAGTAGTAGTAGTAGTAGTAACTAGCACGACTGCATGTCAGGAGCGTGAAGGATTCGACAGCCATGTCCTGGACTGCTTAAAGGCCGTGTTTCTCCTGCCATTCTACCTCTGCCTAAACCCGAGCCCTTCCCGGACATCGGTAGCAGCATGGGTTGCAGTGACGCGACTGGCAGGCGACTCTGGCTGATAAGCTGGGCGAGATCCAGAAAGGCTTGGACGAGATCTCGGCCGAGGCGGTCTTCTTTTTTCTCTTGGCAGCCTTCCGTGTTGCATAGCAGATTTAGGATCACTCCCATTGCTTGCCCCGTCAAAAGTTTATGGGAAGCCAAGCAAGGCATCGTGTTTGTGTACAGGTGGAAGCCAAGCTGCTGGTGACTCAGTATACATTTTGTGCTGGCCACTGGAAATGCTCTCGGAATCTCTCGGACTTGCAGCTGATCGGCTTGACATCAAGCGTTTCGACGACCATGCAGGCCTGAGAAGACAGCGAAGGCTGAAGAGACCGCAAAGGCGCAGTAGATCTGAGCGACAGTCATGTGTTGCTTGTCTTCTGACCATCTCACTCAGCGTCAGTCCCAGCAACCTTCAATGCGTGGCTGCGGCTCAAGCGGGAACCGAACACAGATAGACGAGCCCCCTGGGTGGCACCATGCAGGTGCGCGCTGGAAGGTAGATGTGCAGTCGTAGCGCCGGCGAAAGCATCGGCCGAGGCCATCCTAAGGGGGCTTCTGCTGGTCTGGCCGGCTCTCGCCCAGGCCAGGGTCCTCAAAAGCTCCACTTCCTTCTGATATGTTCTGATCGTCTCGTGACTGCATAGGATGCCAGCTGCCCCGTGAACGCTGACGGCAGCGGTGCTTGCACCAGGCCCAGCAAGGCCCCTTCGTGACACCTGATGTGCACGCTCCACTGCGCTCTGGAAGTATATCCTAATGTTCTTCGTGTCGACAGGCAGATGCGAATCACACTTTGCGCTGTCGCGCACAAGGGTTTGACCCGGAAAAACTGGGCTGCCAGACATGCCGCGTTTTGGAGCAGAGGCTGGGAGGGCAAGGCTCACTTATCTCTCTCGCGTGTGCCTTTGTCGTGAAGAGGCTCAAAGAAAGCGGCGTGGCTTCCGCGACCCTGGCAGGGAACTGCCTTGAGTGCTGTGAAGAGGAGATCTCTCGCTCTCTCTCTCGCTCTCTCTCTCGCTCTCTCTCTCGCTCTCTCTCTCCCTTTGTCTCGCGCTCGCCCGCTCGCTCTCTCTCTCTCTCTNNCTCTCTCCCTCCCTCCCTCCCTCCCGGGAGAAAACATTCCCATGACTGCGAATCCCAGGAGCCTGTTCTCGAGCTCTTCCCAAAGGCAGCGTCTAGTTCTTGCGGCTGCGATGTCCGTGCGGCCTGCAGTCTCAGCAAGGCAAGGCTCATTGCCGACGCCTCGCAGCAGGAACGAGACCAGGACCCGGCTAAGGCTTTCGCAGGAGGGCTGCAGAGCATGGCCGATCTTTTTGGCAGGACCTCCATGATTTCATCAAGAGAAAAGCGCCACGCATCCGAAACCTAGAGGTGCAGAAAGTGTCATCACGTTGCTTGGCATGTGCAGGTCCAAGTGCAGAGGCAAGGAGTGTAAAACGAACAGACACTTCATGATGTGGCTCTATGCGTTTGATTAGGTTTTTATTTCCTGCTATTTCCTTGGTGACCCTCTGGGGTTCGCTGCAGCCACGTCCTCCAGACATGCCGATTTCCTTGTAGAACCTGATGAATCGTGTTTCTTGGCGTAGTCCCTGTGCACGCCTGCCGAAGTCGTGCTCACTGCGTGCATTTTTTAAAAGTCGCACCTTGCTTGAGCATGGTTGAGCATCTGTCCCCTGCATAGCTCGGCCCTCTGTTCAGCAAGGGCGTTCCTGCGATTCTGGAATGCTCAGACTTGTGCCTAGCCTTCTGCAGGTGGATTACCAAGCTGGCTCTTGGCCAGCCATCGAGCTAGAAACCAATGACGGGTCCGGAAGAGTTCTGCGTGCAGACGTGAAAGGCCTGTAAGAGCTCCTAATGTGTCATCATTGGCGTGTTTATTACAGCGCTGGCAGATTGGAAATCCGATCACCTGGTGCAGTTCCTCAACATGCGCCTGGAGGCCACGGAAGCATCGGAAGAGGCGAGTCGAACAAGTGTGAAGTCCTTCTTTAGTTGCCGAGAGGCTGCAGAGGACCAAGACAAAACAGGAGCCATTGGAGGAGCTTGGAGCGCTGAAATCCAGCCTCCCGGCCGCCTTCAGCATCCCAGCGGCGAGAAGTCTTGGAGGGACGAAGCCTGAGACGCGGCACCAAGGAGCTGCTCCGGCTGACGCTTGAACCAACTCCCTGAGGCCACTTGCAAACAAAGCCTCCAGAAGAGGTCTCTTCTAATGAAAGGCACGGCACGGCCCATGCCGCGGAGGCACGGCGCTTCATCAAGGAGCCCGGCCACGCTGATACCTACGTTGGGCTGAAGGCGGGGGTTTGTTGTTCGGATCGCAGAGGCCTGGCTATCGGTTTGAGTGGGAAGGTGAACTTCATCCTGCACCACAATCCGGACCTTGTCTTCTTCAATGAGTGCCAGTCCCAACTCCTCTTCTCTCGCTAAAGCAGAGTTGAAGCTTTCTTCTCGTTTTCTCAGGCACGGAGAAGAGCAGGAGAGGCTGGATCTTGGCCGCTACACTAACTTGCAGCAGATCCACGACCTCATGGCTGCGAAGGGCTTCAAGCGCTCCTTGGCTTGGGGAACAGCTTTTGCCCCGCTCTAGAAATCCCAGCCGGTGTCCGTGATCCGAGTGATCCGAGGCAAGGAGCCCAAGAAGTACAAGGGGGAGATCCGCACCTGCAGCGGCTGACGCTTGAACCAGCTGCCTGAGGCACTTGTCATTTGCGTTGCATTGGTCACAAGACAAAGTCCGTGACCCGAGACGCCGGAGGTTCGAAAGTTCGTCCTTGGGCATGGTAACGCTGACTCTTACGTTGGGCTTCGGCACCTTGGATCTGCAAGAAGTTGAGCTCAAACTCTGATGGGTCGACACTTCTCTTCCGGTGCTCCCACCTTCCAGGCTCAACTTTGTGCCCCATCACCCGCCCGTGTTCTACACCTTTGACGAGAACGGCAACGAGAAAGAGTCGTGTTTCGGCGGCAGATGCTCTGGGCCTAAAGCTCGATAACCACGCCCTGTCTGGAGGATTGACATGAGCGACTACTCCTTGGTGGAGTTGCAGGACTGTTCAGGGATGCAGCCGGGTGCGGGAACGTATTCTGTGATGTGTGTCCCACAGGAGCTGATGGCGGAGAAGGGCTTTATAAAGAAGGAGCTGCTCTAGCCAATACATGCTTCTGGGTTGCCGGCGCTTTCCAACCCACCTTGTCCCGCGCACGTGCTCGTGACTTTATCGAGACATGCTGTTAATTGTTCGCAACCCCCCGCAATCGCGATTTGCGTGCGTTGAAAAGCGGCTGCAGCCGAATGTACAAAGCCAAGACGTGTGAGGTGCGAATCGTACATCCTTTGGTCCAGCGTTGCTGCGAGACAGCGGTGCTGTCAGCAATTCAGCTCTAATGAAGCTTTCACCGGCATCATTCACTGGTTCGGGTGCCCTGGCTGCTACGAAATCGCATCTAAAGAGAAACATTGGCACAAGCCTCAGCGACGGAGACATGACCCAGCCAAGTAGTACCCGATCGTGATGCCTGCAAGCTGAGCACTTGCTGTCCAGCTGACACGTCCCCTTGCTGCCTCGTGCAGTTTCGTTCGGCCCAGACGGATTCCTGGACGGAACGCCCATGAGGGCTCCAGGTGCATCACGAGCTCGCGAGAGGGCATCCCATCGGCTCGTGATGTGCAGATAATGTGAGAACCCCTGCTTGAGCAGATGAGCTCCAGCAAGGGTGGCTTAGATGCTGTTTCAGGTCTAGGAGTCTGGTGCAGCTTCTCTGTGGTGCCAGCGCGGCCAGTCAGCGTTGCCTGTTGAGTGTGCCAGACAAGAGCATGCGGAGTTGACGGTCGCATGCCCGGTGGCCATGAATGGCAAAGGCTCAGTGCCAGCCACCAGACTCGAGCTGCGAGACCCAAAAAAGAGGGGACCGGAGAGAGACCCGGCGCCTCGGTGCCTTGCAGAGCCCTTCTTATTTCTATTATTATTCTTATTATTATTATTAGTTATTAGTATTATTATTATTCTTATTACTACTATTATTATTAGTATTATTCGCCCTGTGAGGCGAAGGCGGCCTTTGACGAAGCTCAGAAGGAGCTCGACGCGGCCGAGGAGGTGGCCTGCGACAAGGAGGCTGAGCACTGAAAGTTTGGGTTCTCAGCTGGCAGAAGCAGCATTTGGCCGGTGTTTTGTTTGTGTGAACACGCCTTTGCAGAGTTCTCACAAGATACCGCTCATCTCTTGAAGGTGGGCCTTGTCAAAGCCAAGACACAGTTGGAAGCCACAGAGCAGGCTTTGCAGGCGGGGTCATGTCATGGGATACATCAGAGGCACTCCGTGGCGAATGCTGTCTCCAGATTGATTGCAGACTCTTAGCTTGGAGGCCAAAGCCAAAGTGATTGAGGCTGCCACGGGCGAGGTGGACGCATTCTCGGAGGCATGCTGAGAGCATGTCCGGGCGAGGTAGGTTGAGAACGTGGACACCGGTTTCTTCCATGACTTGCTTCATGATTTGCCGACGAGAAATGAAACGGACCTGCTTCGCTTGACAAACGGTTGCTGGTGGCACATTGCCAAGGGAGAGAAGAGTGGCCGATAGTGGCCGAATCGCAAACCCTGAAACCGCGAAGGTGCTGGCAATTTTCACGGAGGTCGCAGAGCGATCGCATCCTCCCGAAGTGCCAGAAGATGCGAAGGATGCGGAGGCCGAAGGCACCTCCACCGCACCAGCGGAGGCCCGGACCGGGCCTGCTTCCCGCGCTTGTATCATTTGTGCTTGTGCCAACTATGTCGCATTGTATAGTATAGTATAGTGCAGTATAGTACAGGTTCGCAATAGGTAGCAGATCAGTATAGTACTGTCTAGTATCGTAAAGTAGAGTAGAGCAGAGTAGAGTAGAACGGAGGGGAGTGGCGTTGAGAAGGAGAAAAGAGTATAGACAGTATAGAGTATAGTATAGACTGTAGAGTATGCTGTTTAGAGAGTATAAGGAGAATGGGAGTATTAGAATAAATAGACAGTATAGGGTATAGAGTATACAGTGCACAGTATATGCTAAATTCTACAGTACTCAGCATGCAGTATACAACAAAAGGTACAGTGTATAGTTTAATAGTCTACAGTCTAGTGCATATATATATATAGATATATTTAATATATATATATATATAGAGTGTATATAGTGTACAGTGTGGCGTAAACTACATAGTAGAAAGCATATGGTGTATAGTATGTAGTATGTAGTATGCAGTAGATCGTAGAGAGTATGTAGTATATAACGTACAGTGTATTGTATGTAGTGTGTTTTGGGCAAGTCGTATCCAGCATATAGCATACAGCATATAGAATGTAATACATGTGTGGTATTTACTATGTAGTATATCGTAGAAAGTACATGGTACATCGTATATAGTAGCGAAAATGTAGTGTATAGTATGTAGTATAAAGCATAGAGCCCAGAGTATACAGTGGCATAGTACAGAGGTATATAGTCTCATTCTGTGTACAACAAAGTGGGGAGTATAGCGTCTAGTATAGTAAAGTGCAAAGTACAGTGTGTAGTAGAGTGTATAGTACGATGTACAATACGGCGCACAGTATAGCGTGCAGTATAGTGAATCGTATGGTGTGTACTATAGTAGTGTGCAGTGTATAGTGCAATAATGTTTTAGTACATTGAAGAACTGTGCAATACAGCTTCGTGATAAGATGTACTTCGATCAGGTATTGCTGATACCAATACTTTCACAACCATGCTTGCGTGATGCATCATCCCATCAAAAGCCTCTTACATTATACTACACCCTAAACCCTAAATCTTTATATTAAGTTCTGATACTTTTGCAAGAGATGCTGCTTGCTCTTGACAGCTTCTGGCAGGGGGCGGCGACTGAGCCTCCAAAAGCCGGATCCTCGCTGTCAGTGAATAGTATGATCTAGGAATCGAGTATAATATTGCCCAGTATAGTATAGCAAAAATATAGCACAGTGTAGTATAAGTCATAACCGAAGTCGGATGCTCACCGAGGCCTGAGCGCCTTCCCAGGTCGGTGAGGCCTTGGCCTCAGGTTCTTTGAAGCATCGAGGGCGCTTCTTCGTGAGAGCCTTGTCGTATCGTTTAGTCTGATGCCAGGAGCGTTCGCACCTCTGCGCCTTCCCAAAACGGAAGGCTGCTTTTGCACAGCTTAATTCGATAAATGAGAGATGTGCTCGACCCGCAAGCTAGAACATGCTGATGCCTGAGTGCGACGGGAACAGCTGCGGGCTGAATCTCGCGCTGGGCAGGTGTGAGTTGGGTTGATCTCATGGCAGTGCCCGGAAGCGATGGGGAAATCGCAGTGGTCACTGCCTCCTTGTATCTTAAATGTGCAGATGCCCAGTCACTCGCACACAGAAGCCGACCTCCGTGAGCGCTTGCGGAGAAAATCGGGTGCAGGAACTCGGACTGGAGTTTACGGCGTCCGCTACTCTCCTCAGACTCAGAACCGGTGCCTCCACAGGCGGAAGCTCGTTGCCTTGGAGGACTTGGCTCTGGCACTCGAGCAGGACTTCTGCATGCCAGCAGGTAACAAAGAGTTCCTTTCTGCAACCAATCTCGTGCGCGATGCATTTGTGGCTACGGGATTGGCAGGGCAAGAAGGCTGCGCCTTTGGAACAGTGCCGCTGCCTGTTTCGGGCTCTTGCAGTAGCTCTAGACACAAGTGCTGATGTAACCCTGAACTCCCCGAACGGCTTCAGCTCATTTTGCCAGGTGGGCTAGAGACATCTACCGCCGCATAGCTCTCGTGAGTGACTGAGTTGGGGGTCCTTGTGGATGGAGCCATTCATTCGTTTACATGCTCACAACTGATATTCTCGGTATTGCTTGCACACATTATGGGTTGTGGGGCTGATAGATAGATAGATAGGTAGACACAGAGTTAGAAAAATAGATGGATCGGTAGATCGATAGATGATAGATCGACATATTGATATATATAAATATATATATATATATACACATGTGTGTAATGTGTGTACCCGTCTACATACATCTATGCTCTGCGGTATGCTTCTGCATCTCTGAGGCGCTGAAGAGACAAGGTTGGACTGTCCGGGAGGCAAGGGGAAAACCCACAGCAGTCAGCGAGTGATGCCCTCTTTATTATGCTATAGTGTGCTATATTATACTACAATATACTGTAGTGTATCATACTAATACTATACCATATTGTTCCATACCATACTGTACCATACGATGCCCTACCATACTATACCATGCTACACTACGCTACACTACACTACACTACACTACACTACACTACACTACACTTTCCATACTTCAAGGCCGCAAGAACGAAGAGCATAGCCAGGCCTTTGACCTGGTCACCAAAGACCGACGGGCACAGAAGAGTGAATTCTTCACGCTGGTGCGACCCTCCAGGGTTTTGAGTTTAGGGCTAAGGGCTTCGCAAGAACAGCATCCGTTCTGTTTGGGGGCGGGGCAATTCCAAGCAAGTTGCGAAGTCTGCGAAGAAACCTGTCGGAGCTTCGAGCAGCGTCTTCCTCGTTGACTGCCTCACTGGTATATTGACAGAAAGCTACTTGCAAAACAACACTTCCGTTCTACGAAGTTCGGATGGGATCGAAGTAAATGCCGAACAGCTTCTGCTCTGCTTCGTGGACGTGTAGCGTGAGGTGGTTGTTCTGTGAGACATCGGATGTCTTAGTTTGTGTAGGTATGTGCATCTGGTGATGTGGACAATCTTGCGAAGTCATGGCGGATGGAATGCCTCGGGTCTGTTGAAGTCTCCTGTTGTAAGCGGTGCTGACTCTAGGCCGCAGGTAGATGACCAGCCAAATTAAACCGCAACTGCATTTGCGGAGCTGTGAGATCTGCGGACTTGCCGTTTACTGCTCACGCCTGGTTCCGGGAGGTGAACAGCCTCGAGCTGGGCCTCCGCTCCGAGCAGCTGGAGTGGCTGTGCCGTCCTCGGACTCGCAGGGCCAATTCCTGCAAAGCTCTGGTGGCTCTCAGGTGGAAGCTGTCTGACACGAATGCAGATGGCCTCCTGGACTACATCGAGTTCGCTCAGCGCATCGCGGAGGTTGTCGTATGGTAGGTATGTATAGGCGCAAGGCAGCTGCCAGAGTTGTGTGGGAGGTGACAGGCATCAGCACCACAGCCTTCCCAGTTCCCCGAGACGAGGAGCCAGAGCTGCCGCTCCTCCCAGGGGTGAGGTTTTTTTTTCAGGCTTTTTGGCTGTGCCAGGATGTGCTTGAGCCTCCCAGTCCGGGCCCGCGACCTCCCATCTCCTTGCTCAACGCGGCGGCCGGCATGTCCGAAGTTTGGGACTCAGGGCCTCAGGGCTACGGGCGCAGTGGGACAGTCCTGGCACCGCCGCAGATTCCAAGGCTTGGGCCAATCTTTGCCAAGCTCGGGACCTGTGTGCCCAGCAGGAGATGGGACTTGGGCAGCTCTGCTCAGTTTCGGATGGCAGCCGCTGGAGGAGCGCAGGTTGAGCCTCGGCGTGGCAGCAACCTCAGCAGAGCCCACGTCTAGCAGGTCAGTGCTTTGATCGTTTTTAGCCCACCTCCTATAAAGCTGCTGAAGCTCTATAGGCTATAGGACCCTCGGGCTCAGGCCAAATCCCGCCCTTTCAGGTGATGTAGACTAGATCCATCTAGAATACTAGTACAAGCTCCAGAAAAGCAATTTAGTTGAACATCGCCAGGCTCGCCCGGCACATTCGCTGCAGGCGCCCCCTCGATGTAATGGCTCGTCTTAACCCGTGTCAATGTGATTCCGCAGGAGATCTGCTCCCGTGTCAACGACGCCTTGCGCCGCAAGGCTCGGCTTTCACAACACCCACGCTTTCAGAATCCCCGTTGCTGCAAGCATTTCTGCTCCTAACCAGTCTTTCAGTGCAGGGCCAGACGCCGGACGCTCTGTTCGACGCCCTCGCCGCGGCCCGAGTTCACATGCCAGTGGAAAAGTTGCCGTAGCCGTGGCTTGCAGTCGGTCACGACTTGACGGAGCCTTTCAGGCGGGTGGTGGGCAAGAAGTACGTTGGCCGGACTTCCGGGCTCTGTTTGCGCAAATCGAGCCCGACCCTCTGTGAGCACTGAAGAAGTTGCAACAACGAAGGGGAAACAACTTTCGTGAACAGACAAGGCCTTCCTTGGAAGAGTGGCAGCTACAGCAGCTCGCGTCTCAAGAAAAGCACTCGCACGAGCACAACCAACATATGCGACAGCAGCTCCCATGGGCTTTTTATGTGCTGTCAAGGCTGTGGGCCACCTTCGATACCAACGCCGACGGCGGCATTTCCCGCGAGGACAGGGTTTTGCACACAGCTGCAATCTTGACACTCGGTAGCTACAGAGGCCAGGGAGGGCGCCTGTCGCAGGAGTTCAAGAAGCAGCTTGCGAACGTGCAGGCTTTCGGGCCCGCTTGGCTCTGCAGAGGTTCCAGACTGCAGTCGGACATATTCAGACAATGTGCAGGCTTCGGCAACAGCGGGTGTCACCCCGCCGCAGGCAAGGCTTGCCAGTGCTGTTTTGCCTTCGAACGGTGGCCGTTTAAGATCCTGGAGTGCAAGCAAGACGTAGACTCGTGCACCATGCGTATCCATGCGTCCAGTAGTGCTCCAGTTGCAGATTCTGTGGAGCTTCCGTTAAGCACATTGGCAGGCCCGGGCGGCAGGCTCTCTGCAGGCCTGCCCTC